CATCTCTTTGACAAGGAACTAAGATGAAGCAGTAAAGGCTGTCTTATAAAGTATCTTGGAAGCGAACTCGGCATCAAGCTGTGACCCCCCTGCTGCTGCTATCCTGGTTCCTGATGGTGCAGAGGATATCACCCACACATCAATATGGGCATCAGAGATTATGCATCAAACAAGGCTAATCCCTATATCAGCAAACCGTTAAAAATGTGTCAAGGCTCGATAACATATTTGATGTTTATAAATCTGCCTCCTTTAAAGGCAGCACCACAACTCTTTATGGCCAAGGTTCTTGAAAACAAGTCAAGGATACCTGTAAAGTAACTGGCAATATGGTTTTTTTTTTATCCCAGTGATTAGACAAGAGAGTGGGGTTCACTAGAGCGCCCCAGGGGAGGACAAGGAGCATGGCCATTAACTGTTAGAGGATGATTTCAGGTTGGATGAAAGGAAGAACTTCTTTATGGTAGGGGTGACCAGAATCTGGACTAGACGTCCCAAGGAGGTGGTGCAGTGCCCAACCTTGGGAGTCTTCAAGAGGAGGCTGGAAAAACACCTTGCTGGGATCATTTGATCTCAGCAGTATTGCTGCCCAGAGCAGGGAGGGTGGTGGTGGATTCGATCTTTTGAGGTCCCTTCCAGCCCTTCATTTGTATGATTCTTACAATTAGCAGATTTTATACACAAGAACATTCAAGCCACTGGGCAAGACATTAGCAGTTACAACCGATGCAAATGTAGTATCTCCAGCTCAAAACACAACTGAGCCTCACAACCACGAGAAAGCAGTTATGGGGAGATTTCTGTGAGTATGGTATGCCAGAGAGGGGTTAAATTGTACCCCTGTATGGACTGCTGGCACCCATGTAGCAGCTTGTGGCATTGCAGCTGCTGCAACTTAAATTAAATTCCTCCGTAACATTTAGCATTTTACATTTGATTAATGTAAAATGCCATAATATTAATCATTTTCAAAAAGCCTCATGGTTCTGACGTTCCACACAGGCTGTGACCATTTCACTCTTTGCAAGGAGGGTAAAAAAGGAGCCAGAGATTGCATCTGATGTCATCCCAGGTGCTCTGAAGATCAAAAACAGACTGAGCAATTTATTGGTTCTCTCTGGCCAGGCCACTGAGGTCACAATGGAGAATACTGCCAGCCTTTGTTCAATGTGCCATAAAAAACAGAACACTTGAAAACCAGCCACCCACTCAGGCAGTGCTGATTGCAGCTTATTTACTGAGCAGCCCCTACAAGCTAACTGCCAGCAGCAAATGTTCCCAAAATACAATCATTAGTAAATCTGGAGTCACGTGCATGGCAAGATGTGAATGGAGGCCGGTGGTTTACATAGCCAGCTCCACCTGGAGTAGCTCCTGTTCTTTAAATACTTGTCAAATGCAGCAGGGTAAAGCATCAAAAGGCTAATCTAGACTATATTGCCCCACAATGCTGCAGCGGTGAAAGCAACTAAGTGTGCAAATGACAAGTACACGAGATAACTGCCAGCTGCAGAAATCCAAGCACCAAATAAGTGGGGCACTGGACTATTAATAATGATGCTGTGAGCTTCCCAGGTAAGCACACGATAATTAAAGGACTGGGCGTATGCACGTGTCCTATAATATAGGGGACAAAGAAAAAGCAATGTGAGCAAACGTAGGAAGCGGAACATACTTTAGAAAGCTTAAGGAACTAAGCATTCAAAATTTACCACCGACCTAAGTATGCAGCAATTGCTGATTTGGGTCATTGCTAATGTAGGTAATATAACAAATACTGGAATAAAACTAGTTTCAGCCAATAGACTCGGGTCTAGAAACTGAATTTCTGCTTAAGACGAGAGACACCCACCTGTAGCAACATTATGATGGAAAGACACCAGCGTCTGGCATCATTTTGAAGCGACTCCACATCTGATATCAGTAATCTGAAAATACGATGATGGTAATTGGCAAGAGCTGCATGCCCATGAGTCACACGAGGGTGAGCCATGGGTCCCGAGGGCCCTGCAGATGGCTCCCTGATGCTCTGCGTGGGCACCCTCCCCTCCCCTCCACGTGCCTGCACAGCCCGACACCCCCAGCTCCCAGTGCTGCACTGCCTCTCCCTGGGGCAGGGGTGAGAAGTGGAGGCCAGAGCAGAACCCAGAGGCTCCAGCTGTTGTTGCAGCTGGAACAATACTGAGAGCAGTGGCTGGGGGGGAGCCACAACATAACCCTTCATGGGCTGTATGTGGCCCACAGGCCACCAGTTGGACAGCCCTGCCCAAAAGCAAGGGGTTTTATTGGACCATCTGTATAACTGGGGGAGATAGTAGACAAGTTTTTGTGCGCTCGGTGCTCTTCAGCCAGCCACAAAGAATGGCACTTTGTACCTGAAAATTAGTTTCCAAAATGTTGAGGCAATACACACGCCATTACACAGACACGGCTATTACGAGAGTAATAAACAGGGGGGACAAGATTAGTAGCCTGTAACCTAGGGGCGGGCAATTATTTCGGACAGAGGGCCGCTTATTGAGTCTTGGCAAGTCATCGAGAGCTGCATGACAGGCAGCCAGGGGCTGATAAATATTAATTTTCTAAATTTTTTAGGGGTCCTGCAGGCCAGATAGAATGGCCTAGAGGACCACACTGGGGCCGCGGGACGCATTTTGCCCACCCTTGCTCTAACCCCATTGTGCTAGGCAAATGATTAAGACACTCCCCACCGCAAAGAACTTAAAATCTAAAGCTCAGACCCTGCAAACAGGGATGCATGTTTGATGCTACCACCACATGCAGATCTGGGAGTTGACAATTTAAGTCAAAGAGAAATACTCAAAGTAAAAAAAGCATGTTTAACTTTCACCTGTTTAAGCACTTATGAGAACTAGCCTGAGCATAAACACACAAATACAAGACAGATGGAAGGATAAGCTATCAGTGGGCTATTAAGAGGGGAAATAAATTACAGTTGTACACACACAGTCATGGAATAGGCTTTACAGCAAACCAGCATCTCTCACTTCACTTGTACTGCTGTGCCCTTCAGAAATCCCAGATGCAGCACAGCTAAGAGATTATCTCTTCTCATCTGAGAAAGTACTGCAGGCACACCCAGGGAGTGAGCCACTCCATGGCAAAACACAACACAGGCACAAAGCAAAAACCAATCATTTCTGCCGTGCAACGAGACAAGTTCCTCCATCTGAGAGCATTCAAGGTCAGGGCCAGCCATGATATTCATATTCTCCACTGCAGAAGTGCTGGGTAATATAGCCAGACAAACCATCAAAACAGGCTTGAAGGCTGATGCTGATGGAAGGCAGCAATGACAAATAGTGAAGAGGGGAAAAAAAAAGTACTGAGTGGTGTCTCTGTTCCTTGGCTCTATTATCCACCTCCTCCTCATTCTCCCTGTCTGGCTCAGACTGGCGCTGAGCCAGCCCTGCTGTTCTGCTGTGCTAAAATATTTTATCTGTCCCATCTCAGCTCACTTGCTCTGAACCAGCAGATTTCATTCACAGCAGGTGTTGGGGATTGAGCAGCTCTGTCAGTCTCCAACATTGCAAAATAGGGATTGAGCAGCTCCGTCAGTCACCAGTATTGCAAAATATCGTTCAAATGACACTTCTTGGAATAAGCCAGGAGGGCTCAGAGTTGTAAACAGCCCAACGTGCAAGGGCAGGAGAGGAGGGAAGGTGGAGAACGAGCAGGCCGGTCTGTTTTAGACAGTTCCCTCACTATCAGAAAATAACCTGGACAAGAAAAAAAACTGCCAGTGACCTTGGGCAGCTGGAAAACAAGCAAGCCCCAGACCCTCAGCTTGTAAAAGAGCTCTCCTTGCCTGTCCTTTCTCTTCAGCCTCCTAGAAATAATGATCACTCTTCCTCATCCATCAGAGGTCCCTGCCCTTGTCCTGGAACATGCCAAGACCGAAGGCTGTCCTCCAAAAACAGCATCACCACTTCTGGTTGCCCACAGCTCCTGTTCTTCTCAAATGAGTTTCATTACCTTGGACCCACTCTTTGCCACCAGTGACTCTCCTTCAGGGTTTTGATTTTAAGCTGAAATTTAAAAAAATAAAATAAAATCATGATTATTTTCTTTTGAGGTACCACCTATCAGGCTTCAGCGAGCTGTGTGCCTAAGGGAGGCAGTGACGCTGCTTAAGATGCACCGAGTAGTAGTAGTAACAGGGAGCACAATGTCCATTTGTGATTGAACTAGTCACAAGGGGCAACGAGGTTTCCACCGAGTATCCGGACATCAACAGTCCCAACAGCTTGAGAACAAGAACTGGGCTAATACCATCTATTTTGTACAGGAACTGAAGAAATGAAATGTTTCACTTCTGACAAATCAGGGCGTAGATAAACCATTTTGCTCCTACTGTTTAGGCAGGGAACTGTGACCAAAATAATCACCTCAGCCTGAAGAAAGAGATGGCAGACTTCATTATGAGACTTGGAACAGATTTATCTTGTCAAGATGCATCTCTCAGATATTTGCTACTTTGAACTTGGTTAGCAGCAAGGATAACTTTGTGGTTGAGGTGGAATTGCGATCTTCTTCCCAAAGACTTTGCAGAGCTTTTAATCACTTGTTCAACAGCTTTTAACACAAATTCTTTACTCATCAGTAATGAATGAGACAAAGATTGTTTCTCTCTCTCCTTCAGATACAGTACTGTTTACTGGCAATACTTCTGGCATAAGCTATGAAAACGATCATGATTGTAATCTACTTGGATATCTATAATGCTTCTCTGCATGATGATTTTTGTTGCCATTTCCTATAATTGGTACTTTTTGCAACGCATATAGAGTGTACATACCCTCTTCTATTCTAAAATTAATCTTGAAAACTGTTCCCTAAACTTCACTCAACTTTCTATGATCATTTCTCCTACTCGAGTGTTATTTTGTTTTCAAGAGGCTTAAAAAAAAAAAAAATTAGGCCAAAGTACTTTTGGTTCAATAAAAACAAACGAGTCTCATTAAAATGATAAATATTGCTTTATTAAATTACTTTCTTTATATCCTACAAAAGAAATCATCTGAGTGACAGAATTAAGTGAAGGAAACTCATGGCTGTCTGCTTTTATCTAAATATAGATACAAAAAAAAGGTTGCAGTCCAAGTTGCATAAAGTAAAGGCAAGGCAACTTATTGGTCTCCCTAGGAATCTTGAAATATAAAGTCCTATAATACAATGAAATTAAGAATTCAGCAATGTGGTATTTAACAACTGTGTTGTGGACTGTAACTGCACTTGTGGACCACATTATTCAGCAGTTTTCTTAAACCTTATGAGCCGTGAACAGAACAAAAAGTATAGCTTAACCAGCAGATCTGCTTTAGCTGCTCGCCCCTCCCCCAACCCAAAGAAAAGTTATGAGATCAGCATTAAATTCTGAGGACAAGAGGGAAACTTGCCTCCATAAATATTAGAGATTCCTCCATTCCCATAACTTGTTTATTATATAAAGTCACTAGCTGTTACAAATAATTTCAAGTACAACAGGTTGAGGCAAAAAAAAAAAAAAAAAAAAAAATCAGATCAGAAGAATTTATACTGTAAATACAGTAATTTGGAAGAGAAACAAGTAACCATAGCACTGGCCCAATATCAATGCTGCTGTATCAGATATGATGTGTCAGTAGAAAATTAAGATGTCTCTTTATCAAAAGTTGAGAACATTCATTTCAGTCTTGCGTACTCTAATCTTAGTGCAAAACAGATGCTAAGACATCTTCAATAAAGAAAGGTGATGCATCTTGACTTTAAGGCCAAAGGACTTGATCAGTCATCACTATCGCTTCCAGATTCACTCAGCTGCAAGTCATTTCCTAAAATGGAAGAGAAAGTCATTGAATTAGTTTCATTAAAACCAAAACCTACTTATTTTTCTATTAGCTCATATAAAAATACTTCATTGGTTTAGCACTCATCCGTTCTCTGAACCGTTGGAGTGGTACGTAGTCTGAGGGCGCCCTCATTTTTATCAAGTATAACTTCCCTCCGTTACTCATGTAACCCACCCATGAGCTTGCCATGCAGAGGCTCAATTCAATTCAATTCACAGGTCACAACAGACCTAGCTACCTTTCCCACCCGCCTTTTGATACTTCACAAGCAGGAAAACTGCCTGTCAATGCAGCTTTGTGAAAAACAATAGGAGTCATTGTTGGGAGCTGCACCCAAAGGCCTAGATTGGCTGGAGAACAAAGTCATGTCACAATCCAGACAAGCTGCTTGATGCACCTTTGAAATGTTGCTGGCTGGTACCCTTTTAAAGAGGATGAGAACACAACTAAAGATCAGAGAAAAATACACACTCTTACTAAAAACATGGCAGGTGTTTTCAAGGGGAACATAAAACACTTCAGGGGAAGCGAGAAGAGGCACTTCGGGCGCATCCAGACAAGTGTGCATGTGTTTCCCTGGGGACAAACAGCAGTGGCACATAGTTGTGCTGCTACTTGTCCCTGGAGAATGCTTATGTATGCACGCATCAAGTTGCCCGGGGAGGGGGGAGGCCACCAGAGCCACCACCTGGGCTGGCCCCAGCAGCCTTACCTGGGATCCTGGGAGCTTCCTGGGGCTCCAGCAGCAGCGATCTGGCACGTGGAGCCTAGCCGGCAGCTGGAGCATGGCTACAGCCAGCCAGACTCCAGTTTTGGATGGCGCACACTGCCACCACATTTTTTTTTTTTTTTCAGGCATGGGTTTTTTGACACTGGAATTTCCCGGTGTCAAAAAAATCCCGCCATGTGACAAATCAGCAGCACAGCAAATGCCTGCGTGTGTGGCACGCGCAGTTTCTGGTCCCACAGGTGGGTCTGTGGTGCCCCACACTGCATATGCGCACTCATCTGGATGCACCCTTTTACACTTACTGCAGTTGTCTGTACACCTGAAAATGAGTTTTCCTACCTAAATAAGTATCGATTTTCCCCTAAGAGATTCAAAACCAGCAATTTAACCAACTGTGTAAAGTTCCCCTGCCCTGAGAGATGCTACACCTACTCTACATGTGTAGCCATGCCAATGTTCCTTTTTTTCTTTCTTTTCTTTTAAATGAAGTGGGGGATGGGAAATAAACTCCCTTCTGCTATATAAAAGGTCCTAAAAACAGAAAAATGACTAATGAAGCCGACTACACAGTGCGCTGTCCAATTCTTCTATCACAGTAATCTACAACAGTAGATAAGAAGTTATTGTGAGAGTCAGGGCTGACAAAAAGGGCACGCATGGATGGGTGATCATCACTTCTGCCAGTAAATCTCTGAAGTCCCGTTGGCATGGCTGTGTTCACATGTCTTTTGTCTTGCAGGGGGCAGTAGCTCTGAAAACGGTTACAATGTGATCCTGCGCAGCATACTGCATCAGACATTAACCACGGAAAAGGGTTTGGTTACAACACAACATGGATTTAAAAAAAAGGGAGGAGGAGAAGGTAAGATCGGGAGGTTCTTAAAAATAAACAAAAAAGTTTGCAGGTCCAACATTAAGGCATATATAAAATGTGAACTGCTTCTTTATAAAAATAAGGAAGCACATTTAAAAAATAAAAATAAAAATGGGTCATTTATTCAGAATGCGATTATTCAAGACCAATTACTTAAGGAAAAAAACACTCCATTAAGATGGATACAATTGTGCATTTATAAATCAAAAGGGAAAAAGGTCTTAAGTCCTAAAAAAAAAAAAAAAAGAATACTAATTAAAAAATGAATAGCACGCTATCTCCCATGCAAGCAGATCCCCAACTGTTGTTCTTAATCCCTTCCCCTTCCACAAAAAAGGAGTTTTGTCCATGATGCTGATGCAACCTTTGGTTTCCATGGCAGTAGGTTTTCAGTTTGCTGTAGTGGAAGTACACAGCACGCACGTCTACATGAGACACTTCAAGCTCAGCAGACTATTACTGAGCATTAGCGTGGCAGGCAAAACCCGTGCTCATGCGCAGTAGAATTAGTTCATCGCACATTAGCGTCACAAAAAAAGTATGCAACAGCGCTAGCACACAGTAGCGCATTGCCATATACTACTTCCTAGAAACGAAGCTATACAAGTTGCACCTGATGGTTACATGGCCTTGAAAACAGCTTCCACGTACTTGATTTGATTTGTTTTTAGATCATTCTCCAAACAAGCCTTCGCATACTAGCCAGAGGCTAGTCCTCATAAATCGCACACTAGGAACTGCAAATGTATTTTATCTTAAGCCATGCAAGATATGATAAGCCGAAAAGAAAAGGGAGCGGTTGAAAAGATGCCTCTGAACCTGGGTTAGGATTCACTTATTACCAACAGGTCCCAAACACTGCCTTCGTTGCCTTATGCTTTCCAAAAAGTCTTATTCTCATTTGCACAGTCCTAGCACTTTTCAGACACACTGGTCTGGTGTGTACACCAAGAGGTAAAGATCTAACCTAATCTAATCAACACTAACTTACCCTCAACAGTACGTCCTTCTCAAATGGGAGTAAAAGGGAGAATAACTTCAGTGACCTCGATTTTCGAAGTACTATCAGTTAGTTACTAGTGGGTGCATCTACACGTTCATTAATGAGCCATAATTATGACGCATCAAAGTTTAGTACCTGTAATTACAAGTACTAACTTAACGCACCATAATTGGCGCTACTGCGTATTAGTGCCAGCACACGCTTTTTTCATGACACTAATGCACAGTAGATTAATTCTACTGTGTATTAGTGCGGGTTTTGCCTGCCACACTAATGCACAGTAGAATTAGTCTAATCTACTGTGCTTAAAGCATCTCATGTAGAGGTGCCCACTGTGTACTACTACTACAGCAATGACTGGTTAATTAGTACTATCAACTGAAAAGGTTATTAAATTGTTTCATTTCCCTAGGCTATAAATGCTTTGTCACATACTGTATTAAGCTTTAATTCAAATAAAACATAGTATTGGGCTAGATCTTGGAAACACAGATCAGCAGCTTTTTCCTTCAGTACTTCTACAGCACAGAGCACAACGGGTCACGCCAGAGCTTTGCCATTATGCAGACAAGTAAATTGCCACCCATCTGCAGGCCTTTGTCTAATACATGCTGTGTGCCTTGATAATCATCACAATGCAGAGGCAGATAAAAGGAATTATGTAAGGTAAGGGACTGGCTGTGGGCAGCCTGACACTGCAGCTCTGACCCTGACATCTGGCGTGCTCAGAAGCAGCTCCAAGCGATGTCCTCAAAGAAGGCTCGTGAGCCTATTTCCAGGTGAGCAGAAGCAGATCAGTGTGGAGCTCTTGGGAGCAGCCCAGTCAGGACCCTCTACCACCATACTGCAGCTGCAGCCTGCAAGGCAAGTGGGCAGTCTTGAGCCCAAGCTGATTTAAAAAAAAAAAAAAAAAAAGTAAGCTATGGATAGGGGGCAGTGGTATCAGGTTCCTGTGATCCAGATGGCAACTCTCCCATTTTCAGAATTCTGCAAAAAACTTCACAGCTGTCTGACTTCATGAGAGCAGGTAACTACACTCCCCAACAGCCTTTTGACTGCTACGTAACTTAACGTTAAAACAACCTGCATTAGTGTGCTCAAGCGTCTCTTTGCGGCTCTGGTTTAGGAATAGCATTGCCTTCAACGGTGTTGGGGGGGAGGGGGATGTAGATTAGATGACCTTGAAAGTCCCTTTGATCCTCATGTTTCTGCAGGCACGCATATAAGCAATCCATTGAAGTCATGTCTCAAGTGATAACCCAGAAGACAGCTTGATCTTGCATGTGCTGCTTTAGCATCTTGCAAAAGCAAATACCTATTTAAGGTCCCCATTACACATGTAGGTAGAGGCACGATTGGATCTAATGCAGCAGTTCCCACACTCTGACAGATTGCGTGCCACCAATTTAAAACTATCCAACCTTAAAGTACCATGAGCAAATTTTTCAGTTCAACCTTAAGTGCCACCAGCAAATTTTGTCATATAAAGTAATTATCATAAATCTGTTAACGACAGGTTGTTTGCATACCACAGATTGGGAACTGCTGATCTAATGCATGGCAGGAGGCACAATTTTGGGATCATGCATTAGATCCAGCTATGCCTTATTGCAGGTGTAGGGAGAACCCAATCCTGGGCTCCCCCTGTATCAGCAAGAAACAGGCACCCATGGCTGGGAACCTCTTTTGCTGAGGGGGCACCCAACCATGGGGGTCATACGCAGCTGGGACCCAGAGCTCTGTCAGACCCTGCAACATGTGCAAATTAAAGCTGGGTAACAACCAGCTATAGAGTTAGTATACATTTTCAAGGTCTAACTTAATAGCTGAGTTGTTAGACCTTGATAGCTGGTTGAATAGCTGGTTAAAGGTTCCCCCCCACCCCCACCCCGGTCATGTGATACCTACTTTGCATATGCAGCTGGTCTCAAGGTAACTGAACAATTAACCAGTTAACTGCGCAATAACCATAATGTGTAAAAGGGGGCCTAAGGGGAAGAAACTGTGATGCAGGACAACTTGGACCTCCTCCATTAACCAACAGACTGAAGCTTTGGAGTCAGCAGGCATCCTACCTTGCTTCTCTAGTTTTTACTGATACTTCTCTTTCCTGTCAAAGTCCTAAACACCACAAGTGCAGTATCCACAGCTCAGCAAGAAAGAAGCTGGAGACGCATGCCACACAGTAGCTAATGTGCAGCATCATTTCATTTTAGTTCAACCTGCAGTAGTGTTGGGCAGTACAAACCTAGTGAGCTGCTTAAAACATTAAGCTAGTAGAGGTAAACTCTAAGCAGGTTTACCTAGTCAAGCCTGAACTTCAGGTACCTCCGAAGGGTCAGAGGATCCCATCCATCCTCACAGAGCTCTTAAACACCAGAGGCTCCCTGCTGTGGTTTTGGGTGTTGCTACAAATTTTAAAACAGAAGCGTGTTTCTCTATGACAACTTCAGCTTATAGCAGCAACCACCTGAATAGGTGTGTAAATCCAACTGTAACATTTAGTCCGGTAGTCCAACTAACCACTACAACCTGAATGTCACCAATTTTATCTCCTTACATGACCAGAGAGGTAGTTAGCTGTGTTAGTCTGAAGTCTGGCAACATGTATGGCAGGATGACACCTTAGAGACTGACTGGTTTGGAGGCATGAGCTCTCAGCACTGAAAAAACAAGGACATGCCATACACGTTTAATATAAACCAGTTTATTTTTATTATCCATGTGTGAACTAGGGGCATATTTTTCCAAGCCAGCAACCTTCAATTCAACACCTCATTCAAAACATGGCTTTATTTTCAAAGGCAGCTTTAATGGTAGTCATGGGTACTTGGCATTTCTGAAAAGTCTAAATCACCTTTTCCTTAGGTACCAATTTAAGATTTTCGATGTAGGTGGGGTTTATTGCACTCTTCAAATTCAACAGGATTCTTTCCGGGCAAGAAAATACTTTAAAATTCTAGTTCAACTATGAACACTTCGTGCTTTGTAACACGTTTCAAGCAATGCTCTCTGATTTAGGTTTCTGGCTCGTACTTTTTCCCCATCCTCTCAGTCTGGAAGAGGAAAATCAAATATCTTCATTCTTCTGCATATATAGGAGTAACCTACCTCCCTACCAAAAGTAGCCTGGCACCCTGTGGGGAGAGAAGGCTCCCAGGAATCCTAAGACTTCTGAGTGGATATCAATAACCCTCTTTTGTAACTGGGTATTACCAGTAAGATATTATTCCCAGTGTCTACTACGAAAATTATAAACATATGTTCTAGGAGTGCCTAGCTAGCTCAAGTACATCCAGTGCAAATTACTGTCCTACAGCCCCAACGTATACAACTGGGAGGCAGCCAGAACAGCCTATAAAATATTTTAAACTGTATCAGCTTTAATTTACAATCTCTGGTGGCCACATAGCTTTTAGGCCATCTTCTAACTCAGACCTCAACCCAGGCATCTCTTCCCACAGCTTTAATTACAATAGAGATTTAGTTAGAGTCTATGGTTTGCTTTTAGATGTTTGGTGTCAGAGACTGTTCTTTTCTTAGTACAAGGTTTTCTGTACTTACTTAGTGTATTCATCATATGGCCACTGCTCTCCCGAGATCTGTTACGACTGGCTTCAACGTCAATCATGGCATGTTGTGATGTGGCAGACACGGCAGGTTGTGATTGCAAGTATGGCATGGACATTGGGCGAGAGGGCTTAATCCCCTCATCTTCTGAATCGCTAGAACTGTTTTCACTGCTGGACGAAGAGGATGACGAACTTTTGGAGTCAGACGAACTGTCATCAGAACTACTCATTTGGTCCATGATACTGGCTTCGGCCTTTAGCTCTGAAAAGATGATGCGCATTAAGAAATGAGTCTGCGTTTACAGGATAAGGCAGCAAGGGAAGTGCTGCATGAGCAAGCAACTGCAGTTAGTGTTGCAATGTTCCTCATTACAAACAGCTAAACTGAAAAAGACACCAGATGTAGGAGCAAAGGGTAGCATTCAAGCAGTCTGATCACCACGCTTGTATGTTGTTTTTCTCTTTTCTAGCCTCAAGCAGTTTCCTTTCCAACCATACACTTTGTTGGGCAGAGGCGCATTAAGATTACGTTAAAGCTACCAAGAAAGGTGCTGTCCCCACACTCTGTGAGGCAGCAAACACTGGCCCATCTTTAATCTTTCCTTCCAACTGGCAAGCCAGACTTTCCAGCTTTGTTTCATGCCCTTTCAGATGCCTTACAGGACTAAACAAGTTAGAATCAGAAGGAGAAAACATATCAGGTAGCAAAATACCCAAAGGTAGCAATTGTGGCATTATAACCAATCTGTACATATTTGGTCTGTCTCGACATTCACTGCTCCCAAAAACCAAGTTAAACATTGTGGGATACCTGCAGGAATTGATTATGAAGTCAGGCACCAGCTATACTAAAACCATCACAGATTCTTTTTATGGGTCTGGCATAAGTTAAGAGTTAGCAAGAAACCTCAACACATGACGCTCCATGGCTAACAAACAAATCTGACTCGCTGCACGTAGGGAAAGGGATTTGAGATGCATTAGTTTAGTGACTCAAAAACAGGTTTAAACTGAGAATTGCTCTTTTCCTGTTTATCATACGTTTCAGCACTATTTCCTTTCTTTGCAGCCTTTCTCACCTTGCGGAAAAAGACAGTCTGGTGCGAGTTTACCTAAGGCACAAAGAAACAGACACCTGCATGATGAAAGAGCTAGGAAGTGTGTTTAAAAAGAACTCAGCTCATCCCTAAGAGGCAACAATCAATTCAGAGCAATAAAGCTACCACCTATCAGCTTTCCTACTGCAAGAACTTAACACCTGGCTTTCTCCCAGTCCTCCAAAAGGAAGTAAAGTACGTCTCCAATTGAATGAAATATGAGGTCTCACCAAATTAAAGTCTGAGAGCGCGGCATATGGCGCCATTCTCAAAGACAAATTTACGTAAGCATGCTGCAGTTTCTTCCCATACAAGGAAGAACTGCAGTTCTGAACTGATTTTGAGGAGCACAGGGCTCTTTCAATGTCATTTTTCACAAGATTTATGTTATAATAAACTCTTAAAAAAACCCCTTTAAGTTATAAAGTGTGTTAACCAATAAATATGTATGTAAAGGAAAATGAAAAGGAAAGACAACAAATGGTGTGATGAAGAAAAGGGGAGACTGACCGATTTGGCTCCAGTGGAGCTATGCTGCAAGTTGGCGTGAAGTAGCAGCAGTGCTAGGAATCCCTGAGAATTAAAGCAACACTAACCATGACCTTCTGAAGGTCAATAGTTAACTGAATGCAGAGGCCTAAACAGCTTAAAAACATTGTTTCAACACTACCCTGCCCTATGTGGTCATTCAAATCCTGGGCAAAATGCCTAAATGATGGGCTTGCAATGTGAATCTTAACCAAAACACTTCTGGCTCTTATATCACAAGTCAAGGTGCAAGACTGCTGAAATATTAACTGACAGGGTTACTATTTACCTCTCTCAATATCATCCATAGGAGAAGATGGAGACATCTTTTCTTTGGGTGGAGAATTTTTAACGTTTGGAGTCTTATTGGCATTTCGCATTTGCTGCTGTTGCTGCTCAATACGAGATTGAACTTTACTGCTTCCTTCAGCTCTGCATGACAGGATAAGAGATTGTAACAGACTCCAGAGGACAAAGTTTAAAAACAAAACATAAGATATAGTAATTTGAGCTATGAAGCTATTCAAATTATAACACTAGATTCAGGACACATTATTACACTGACATACAGCAAATATAGAGGCATGAGCCCCATTCTTTTAATATTACGTTAATAATATTCTTATTAACGCTTTCTGGTTTGCTGGTTCTCCAGCACACTCCGCTTGACTTTTTCTTCAATCATCCATTAGTTGCTCATTATAATTCTACAGGAAACTAGTTATGCAGATAAAGCAGCAGAAAGCACACTAACAGGAATTATGTACTCAGCACGAGGAGAATGGGCCATCAACGTTGTTAAAACCTCTCACAAGAATTTATGCTTTATTTTCACATTCAGCCAGAAAACAGTAGCAAAATCATTCTGTTTGTGTAGCAAAGAGCTATTTTCTACCCTCACAAGAAAACAGTTATTACCACTGGAAGTGATATGCAATTTTTCTGGTTAAAAACCCATTTGCATTCTAAGTACCAGCCAAGAGGTGAAAGCAATAAAACCATTTGCTGAGAAAAAACAGCAATGTGGCTTTTCACTCCATTGAATAAGGAACAGAGAGAAGGTTAGGGAGGAAAGAAAAAAAGGAAGATATTTTACTAAAAATATCAATAGCTGGGATGCACCCCAATTCCTCACTCATTTCTAACAAGCTATTTGCATAATAACAAAGGAATATAGCACGTTTTCTTTTCCTGTATTACTTACCTGGTTTTCTTCACAGTGATGTTGCTGCTAAGTTTCTCTAGGCGACATTCTCCAGTGTCGTGGTTGATAATTAAGATACATTCTTTTAAATAAGGCTTCTTTGAACCCTTGAAAACAGTTACCGGTGGGGTAGAACCCTATTTAAATTGGAAAAAAATCCCTAGTTAGTTATGACAATAAACTGCTATTCTTATAAGCACAGAATGACATATCACAGTAGCGATAAGTTGGTTGTAACCCGTGATTTCTAGACTTGTAAGATTCGTTAATAATGAATATAAATTAAGCTCAGGCCAGCAGTAAACAAAGGCAGCCAGTGACTTTGTTGATCCCAGAAATTCACATGCTGATTTGAAGATAAGTCAGTCATTTCAAATGAGTTTCTAATGGCCAGGTATATACACAGCAAAATTACCACCACAACTAAAATTCTTTAAAAATATAGCCATAGAACTGTCAAAAATGACCAGATTGAAATCTGAGATAGCCAAGAAAAGCTTTCATTGCTAATGTCCAAGCTGTACCTCTGCTACAGGCAGAAGAATTCAAGGCTGCCAATACAGCATATTTCCAGCACAGTGAATTCAGCTCAACTTATGGCATAATAGCCTGACCTTTGGATCATGAGAGATTCTGTATTTCCTAGAGTAATCATTCTTTTATTGTTTTTCAAGATGCATAAGCAGAGTTTTAAAAGAGCAGCAAGCTGAAAATACCAAAGCCTAAAGTCCTTCTACATTTGATACAGACTTAAGGGTCTCTCTCCCCACCTTCCCTCCACTCACCTCAATGTTTGGCAGCGTTATTGTCACCTGTTCGCCTTTGCCAACTTCAAGATCTCCTTCACAGGATGTATCAATAGACGCAGGCTTGAAGTCATCTAACAATAGAAACAAAATGGTGATTTTCATAAGTCTCAGAAGTCCCTTGAACATCTGACATATGGTTTCACATGTTTTAGGGATGGTAGAGATGGATGTCACCAAGATAGTGTATTGGATGGTGTGGCATCCACCATTGCTATTAGCAGATTATACTACAAGCTAATAGAGCTGAAAGCCAAGACTGTTTTATTGGTATTCAACCTAGGTCTTACCATGCCCTGATGCCAAGTCTTTTCAAAAGAGGATTTTTAAATACCACATAGAAGGCTTCCCATTGAAGATGTAGCTTAACTGGTTTTGATTATGATTAAAAGAAAAAAATGACCCATACAATTATTTATTGGAAAATAAAATCCCTGATAATTTCAGCTCAAACTGGAAGCTGCAGGTAGTTGCAAGCAACTGAAAAGCAGGGGAAGGGTGTTAAAACAGAAATCCATAAGCAGCCTTGAGGATAGCTGTGGTTGCTGCTCTTCCAATTGTAACAGCAAAGGAAAAGCCATGTGCCAGAGCAAGGATTTTAGTTTTTTCTCAACATAAATAAGCTTTTAAATTCCTGTTAAAATGGAATTAGAAAAAGCCACCATGATATCCTCACTGCAATTCCATTTTGTCATTCTTTGAAGCCTACTGCCATCACATTTGTTTCTAACTCTTTGGCCAGTATGAATTGCTGCTCTTTAATTTGCCAACTCTTTGAAACATGCAGATGAACATAAAGTTTGCCAAACTTTTTTGCACTAGCATTACCGGAGTTGTTCATCTTGCCAAAAGCATCACTTAAAGCAGGCTGGGAAAGTAACAACTGCTGTTTCCAAGGAGCTAAATAAGCAGAGTTTTTAGTAGGTAGAGGGCAGATGGTGAATGGATCCAAGGATAGCAACACCCAGGCCTTGGGAACCACAGTGTGGCAACAAAAGACGATCAAAATCCAGGCTTTAGTTGTATGCACACTGCAAAGGGGATGTGACTGTATGTATTTTACAGCAAAAGCCTCCATCACCAGCCAGCAGGCCTCAATTCAAGGAAATGGGAGGGTGTACTGTAGATAAAAGTGTTTGGATTAAAACCCAGGTAATATCTGCACTGCAGCAGGCTCTGTCTCAGAGGTCTAATCAGCACCTAGCTCAGTAAGGTACTGCTAATGGAGCTCCTATGGCAGGAATGGGAAACCATTCCCATGAGAGAGCTGCTGGATCCTTAGCACTTTGGAAGATCAGGACACTGAAACAGGTCTTTAAATATTGACTTTGCAGCGTCAACTTTTGGTGCCAATTTCTGAAGTTGTCAGACAGTTCAACTATTTGTAGCCCCAACTAATATTACTAGTAAAAAGATTAAAAAAAGAAGGCTCTCTCTTGACAGTGCTATCAGATATGCAAATTTAGCTGAATTTCAACCTTTCTTCAGAGCAACACAGGAGAAAAACATTTGAAGTAGATCTGTAGCTTTACAATTTATATTTATCCAACAGGAAATTTAAGGGCTGGTGCAAGACCAGAAACATTTGCAAATTTTTATTTATTTTTTTTTAAGAACTGAACAGAGTTAGAGCAGCCATGTAAATCCACATACAAGTTTTGGGTCCCCCCCCCCTGCCAGCTGTGGACAATTTGAAGTGTGATTCGTTTGCTCAGAGCAGACATTATCCACCCCACTGCATGAAGCACAGAGGGCATTCTCGGAGGTACTGAACCGTGGGGATCACTCTAAAAATAACGAGCCATCAAAACAGAAACAGCAGCCCTAAATTACCAGAACCATAATCCTAACAGCATTTGTCTCCTAGATACCTGCAGAATCGCTGAAAACACACCTCCCAGGATAGTAGCTATTATGTACTCAGGGAGCAAATACTAGCTTTGAGATTAATACTGCCTTTAACCTTTGATTGTTGAATGTGTATTTAGAGACCTGTAGAGGCCAAGCACAAAGAGCAAACACAACTTCAGCCCAAACTCAGAAGTTCACAGCATTAGGATAAGTAAGACACCGCTGTTTCTTAAAACGTATCCCAGGGCAGAGCAGATGCATTTAGTACCCACAAAGAAGTGCTAAGTGATGTATGGCAGCAGAGTGTTAACTTCACCAGCAACACACCTGCTCAGTAGTTTGGTTTCAAATCTCTCTCCAGCAGCTGCAACCTGCTCTGAACCACACAGTCTTGTGTTGAAGAGCGCACGAGGACATAAGCAACCTGGGTTCAATTTCCAGCTCTGCCTCAGACTCTCTACATGAACGCAGGCAAGCAACTTAATCTGTTGGGGCCCAAATACTCATGTTTTTTACGACATCTCTCTCTCATGCTTCCTCCGAGGGGTCTGTTTAAAAACTTTTCAGAAACTGTTTCTTCCTTGCAGACTCCATGGGACCTGCCTCGGGAAGGCCTTGCTAGATGCTATTGCAACACCATCAGAGTAGTAGTGTTGCCACATTTGATTCCAGTCCCCAGCCCGGCCCTCTGCCCCGTACTTCTCCACACAGGATCAGCCCAGCCCTCCCAGAGGTGCAGTCAAAGACCCCTTGTGCTCGCCTCCCCATCACCTTCCCCTGCTCCTTGTTCAGAGGCCTGCTCTCCTGTGACCCCGACTTGCTCTACCCTGACACCGCCCTCACTGACCGCAGCCTCCCCTCTCACACTAAGGTCATGGCAGGAAACAAAAGCCTGGGGAGCCCCCCCCCGCTCCCCTGCAGGTTACACAGCCCTGCCCTTGTCACCATCACCCCTGTGCCTGCCAACCGCGCCATGCAGGATCTGCAAAGCGGACTTTAGCTTTGCGCACAGCACGTTCACGTCCACCCAGAGGCAACGCCAGCCTGGGGGGACTCCCCTAGCGCTGGTGGAGTCGGAGAGCAGGGGCCCGGGGCCAAGGAGCCCATCCCAAGCCAGAGCACAGAACGGCCCATCGCCCCCACGGGACCCGGCCCCTTCCAGACACCCGCCATCGTGGGGCAGGGTGCAGCAGAGCACCTGCCTCCCCAAGGGGCCTGGACAGAGCCCACCCCATCCCCACAGAACCCCCCACCCAAACAGTGGGGCAGGGTGCAGCAGAGCACCTGCCTCCCCAAGGGGCCTGGACAGAGCCCACCCCATCCCCACAGAACCCCCCACCCAAACAGACCCCACCCCAC